AAACAGATTTTAACCAAACCTCTTGTTGTTTCTACTTCTGTCAGCCAAGAACAAGAAGCTGCGGATGCAGTGGGCTCAGGCTCATCAACACTGTTCTGCCCAAAAGGGGAATGAACGTTGAATATTTGATGACTGATGATTTTCGCTATCTTCAAAACGCACACAGATGCTAGTCTCAGAATTGGCATCAACATTCATGAATCCGTAGCCTCATCCTGTTTTGTGTCAACAGTCCAAGCCGGTCTAGGGGTGTAGCGTGCGGAATGTTTTCTTGTAACCCTGTGGGCATTTTAATTCCAGTCAACCGTCACGTAAATGCCACAGCCTATTTCGTGATTGTTGCTGACTATGTGCCGCAATTCCCCTATCCACTAGAGACTACTTCCTAACGATAATGCACCATGTCTCTTAGAAAAGTAATCTCCGACTGGTGACATGAAAATGGCAGTGAGTTCTTTCTTGCCGTTCTCAATCAAAAGCGCTGAATAAATACTGAATTGTTTAACAACAAACATGCTATTGGTCATGTCCGGCTGCATATTCAGCACATAGAGTATAAATCACTTAAAGTTAAAGTGAAGAAAGCCCAACAGGGGGCACATGGGACCTCTCGATCTGCAGTCAAATGCTCTACCACTGAGCTATACCCCCACATTGCTTCAACATCAAATCATAGCTGCTGGTTTGTAAGGTATAGTCCGTTGTAACGCAATTAAAGTCAGTTATAGTCAAGTCACAGCTAAAGGTATGTCAATGCAGACAAGGGCCAGAAAGGAGGAAAACAGATTTTAACCAAACCTCTTGTTGTTTCTACTTCTGTCAGCCAAGAACAAGAAGCTGCGGATGCAGTGGGCTCAGGCTCATCAACACTGTTCTGCCCAAAAGGGGAATGAACGTTGAATTTTTGATGACTGATGATTTTCGCTATCTTCAAAACGCACACAGATGCTAGTCTCAGAATTGGATGGGGAATGTTTTCTTGTAACACTGTGGGCATGTTAATTCCAGTCAACCATCACGTGGATGCCGCAGCCTATTTGAGGATTGTTGCTGACTATGTGCCGCAATTCCCCCTATCCACTAGAGACTACTTCCTAACGATAATGCACCATGTCTCTTAGAAAAGTAATCTCCGACTGGTGACATGAAAATGGCAGTGAGTTCTTTCTTGCCATTCTCAATCAAAGGCGCTGAATAAATACTGAATTGTTTAACAACAAACATGCTATTGGTCATGTCCGGCTGCACATTCAGCACATAGAGTATAAATCACTTAAAGTGAAGAAAGCCCAACAGGGGGCACCTGGAGTTGAACCTGGGACCTCTTGATCTGCAGTCAAATGCTCTACCACTGAGCTATACCCCCACGATGATCAAATCATAGCTGCTGGATTGTAAGGTATAATCCGTTGTAACGCAATTAAAGTCAGTTATAGTCAAGTCACAGCTAAAGGTATGTCAATGCAGACAAGGGCCAGAAAGGAGGAAAACAGATTTTAACCAAACCTCTTGTTGTTTCTACTTCTGTCAGCCAAGAACAAGAAGCTGCGGATGCAGTGGGCTCAGGCTCATCAACACTGTTCTGCCCAAAAGGGGAATGAACGTTGAATTTTTGATGACTGATGATTTTCGCTATCTTCAAAACGCACACAGATGCTAATCTCAGAATTGGATGGGGAATGTTTTCTTGTAACATTGTGGGCATGTTAATTCCAGTCAACCATCACGTGGATGCCGCAGCCTGTTTGAGGATTGTTGCTGACTATGTGCCGCAATTCCCCCTATCCACTAGAGACTACTTCCTAACAATAATGCACCATGTCTCTTAGAAAAGTAATCTCCGACTGGTGACATGAAAATGGCAGTGAGTTCTTTCTTGCTGTTCTCAATCAAAGGCGCTGAATAAATACTGAATTGTTTAACAACAAACATGCTATTGGTCATGTCCGGCTGCATATTCAGCACATAGAGTATAAATCACTTAAAGTTAAAAAGTGAAAAAAGCCCAACAGGGGGCACGATTGGGACCTCTCGATCTGCAGTCAAATGCTCTACCACTGAGCTATACCCCCACATTGCTTCAACATCAAATCATAGCTGCTGGTTTGTGCGGTATAGTCCGTTGTAACGCCAATTAAAGTCAGTTATAGTCAAGTCACAGCTAAAGGTATGTCAATGCAGACAAGGGCCAGAAAGGAGGAAAACAGATTTTAACCAAACCTCTTGTTGTTTCTACTTCTGTCAGCCAAGAACAAGATCGCGGATGCAGTGGGCTCAGGCTCATCAACACTGTTCTGCCCAAAAGGGGAATGAACGCTGTATTTTTGATGACTGATGATTTTCGCTATCTTCAAAACGCACACAGATGCTAGTCTCAGAATTGGCATCAACATTCATCAATCCATAGACTCATCCTGTTTTGTGTCAACAGTCCAAGCCGGTCTAGGGGGTGTAACGGCATGGGGAATGTTTTCTTGTAATACTGTGGGCATTTTAATTCCAGTCAACCGTCACGTGAATGCCACAGCCTATTTGAGGATTGTTGCTGACTATGTGCCGCAATTCCCCCTGTCCACTAGAGACTACTTCCTAACGATAATGCACCATGTCTCTTAGAAAAGTAATCTCCGACTGGTGACATGAAAATGGCAGTGAGTTCTTTCTTGCTGTTCTCAATCAAAGGCGCTGAATAAATACTGAATTGTTTAACAACAAACATGCTATTGGTCATGTCCGGCTGCATATTCAGCTAATAGAGTATAAACCACTTAAAGTGAAGAAAGCCCAACAGGGGGCACCTGGAGTTGAACCTGGGACCTCTTGATCTGCAGTCAAATGCTCTACCACTGAGCTACACCCCCAAATTGCTTCATCATCAAATCATAGCTGCTGGTTTGTAAAGTATAGTCCGTTGTAACGCAATTAAAGTCAGTTATAGTCAAGTCACAGCTAAAGGTATGTCAATGCAGACAAGAGCCAGAAAGGGGGAAAACAGATTTTAACCAAACCTCTTGTTGTTTCTACTTCTGTCAGCCAAGAACAAGAAGCTGCGGATGCAGTGGGCTCAGGCTCATCAACACTGTTCTGCCCAAAAGGGGAATGAACGTTGAATTTTTGATGACTGATGATTTTCGCTATCTTCAAAACGCACACAGATGCTAGTCTCAGAATTGGATGCCGCAGCCTATTTGAGGATTGTTGCTGACTATGTGCCGCAATTCCCCCTATCCACTAGAGACTACTTCCTAACGATAATGCACCATGTCTCTTAGAAAAGTAATCTCCGACTGGTGACATGAAAATGGCAGTGAGTTCTTTCTTGATGTTCTCAATCAAAGGCACTGAATAAATACTGAATTGTTTAACAACAAACATGCTATTGGTCATGTCCGGCTGCATATTCAGCACATAGAGTATAAATCACTTAAAGTGAAGAAAGCCCAACAGGGGGCACCTGGAGTTGAACCTGGGACCTCTTGATCTGCAGTCAAATGCTCTACCACTGAGCTATACCCCCACATTGCTTCAACATCAAATCATAGCTGCTGGTTTGTAAGGTATAGTCCGTTGTAACGCAATTAAAGTCAGTTATAGTCAAGTCACAGCTAAAGGTATGTCAATGCAGACAAGGGCCAGAAAGGAGGAAAACAGATTTTAACCAAACCTCTTGTTGTTTCTACTTCTGTCAGCCAAGAACAAGAAGCTGCGGATGCAGTGGGCTCAGGCTCATCAACACTGTTCTGCCCAAAAGGGGAATGAACGCTGTATTTTTGATGACTGATGATTTTCGCGTATCTTCAAAAGCACACAGATGCTAGTCTCAGAATTGGCATCAACATTCATCAATCCGTAGCCTCATCCTGTTTTGTGTCAACAGTCCAAGCCGGTCTAGGGGGTGTAACGGCATGGGGAATGTTTTCTTGTAATACTGTGGGCATTTTAATTCCAGTCAACCGTCACGTGAATGCCACAGCCTATTTGAGGATTGTTGCTGACTATGTGCCGCAATTCCCCCTGTCCACTAGAGACTACTTCCTAACGATAATGCACCATGTCTCTTAGAAAAGTAATCTCCGACTGGTGACATGAAAATGGCAGTGAGTTCTTTCTTGCTGTTCTCAATCAAAGGCGCTGAATAAATACTGAATTGTTTAACAACAAACATGCTATTGGTCATGTCCGGCTGCATATTCAGCACATAGAGTATAAATCACTTAAAGTTAAAGTGAAGAAAGCGCAACAGGGGGCACCTGGGACCTCTTGATCTGCAGTCAAATGCTCTACCACTGAGCTATACCCCCACATTGCTTCAACACCAAATCATAGCTGCTGGTTTGTAAGGTATAGTCCGTTGTAACGCACATTAAAGTCAGTTATAGTCAAGTCACAGCTAAAGGTATGTCAATGCAGACAAGGGCCGAAAAGGGGAAAACAGATTTTAACCAAACCTCTTGTTGTTTCTACTTCTGTCAGCCAAGAACAAGAAGCTGCGGATGCAGTGGGCTCAGGCTCATCAACACTGTTCTGCCCAAAAGGGAATGAACGCTGTATTTTTGATGACTGATGATTTTCGCTATCTTCAAAGCGCACACAGATGCTAGTCTCAGAATTGGCATCACATTCCATCTCATCCTGTTTTGTGTCAACATCAAGCCGGTTAGGGGGTACGCATGGGGAATGTTTTCTTGTAATACTGTGGGCATTTTAATTCCAGTCAACCGTCACGTGAATGCCACAGCCTATTTGAGGATTGTTGCTGACTATGTGCCGCAATTCCCCAGTCCACTAGAGACTACTTCCTAACGATAATGCACCATGTCTCTTAGAAAAGTAATCTCCGACTGGTGACATGAAAATGGCAGTGAGTTCTTTCTTGCTGTTCTCAATCAAAGGCGCTGAATAAATACTGAATTGTTTAACAACAAACATGCTATTGGTCATGTCCGGCTGCATATTCAGCACATAGAGTATAAATCACTTAAAGTGAAGAAAGGCCCAACAGGGGGCACCTGAAGTTGAACCTGGGACCTCTTGATCTGCAGTCAAATGCTCTACCACTGGCGCTATATACCCCCACATTGCTTCACATCAAATCATAGCTGCTGGTTTGTAAGGTATAGTCCGTTGTAACGCAATTAAAGTCAGTTATAGTCAAGTCACAGCTAAAGGTATGTCAATGCAGACAAGGGCCAGAAAGGAGGAAAACAGATTTTAACCAAACCTCTTGTTGTTTCTACTTCTGTCAGCCAAGAACAAGAAGCTGCGGATGCAGTGGGCTCAGGGCTCATCAACACTGTTCTGCCCAAAAGGGGAATGAACGTTGAATTTTTGATGACTGATGATTTTCGCTATCTTCAAAACGCACACAAGATGCTAGTCTCAGAATTGGATGGGGAATGTTTTCTTGTAACACTGTGGGCATGTTAATTCCAGTCAACCATCACGTGGATGCCGCAGCCTATTTGAGGATTGTTGCTGACTATGTGCCGCAATTCCCCTATCCACTAGAGACTACTTCCTAACGATAATGCACCATGTCTCTTAGAAAAGTAATCTCCGACTGGTGACATGAAAATGGCAGTGAGTTCTTTCTTGCTGTTCTCAATCAAAGGCGCTGAATAAATACTGAATTGTTTAACAACAAACATGCTATTGGTCATGTCCGGCTGCATATTCAGCACATAGAGTATAAATCACTTAAAGTTAAAGTGAAGAAAGCCCAACAGGGGGCACCTGGGGACCTCTCGATCTGCAGTCAAATGCTCTACCACTGAGCTATTCCCCCACATTGCTTCAACATCAAATCATAGCTGCTGGTTTGTGAAGGTATAGTCCGTTGTAACGCAATTAAAGTCAGTTATAGTCAAGTCACAGGCAAAAGGTATGTCAATGCAGACAAGGGCCAGAAAGGGGGAAAAACAGATTTTAACCAAACCTCTTGTTGTTTCTACTTCTGTCAGCCAAGAACAAGAAGCTGCGGATGCAGTGGGCTCAGGGCTCATCAACACTGTTCTGCCCAAAAAGGGGGGAATGAACGTTGTATTTTTGATGACTGATGATTTTCGCTATCTTCAAAACGCACACAGATGCTAGTCTCAGAATTGGCATCAACATTCATCAATCCATAGACTCATCCTGTTTTGTGTCAACAGTCCAAGCCGGTCTAGGGGTGTAACGGCATGGGGAATGTTTTCTTGTAACACCTGTGGGCATTTTAATTCCAGTCAAAACCGTCACGTGAATGCCACAGCCTATTTCATGATTGTTGCTGACTATGTGCCGCAATTCCCCCTATCCACTAGAGACTACTTCCTAACGATAATGCACCATGTCTCTTAGAAAAGTAATCTCCGACTGGTGACATGAAAATGGCAGTGAGTTCTTTCTTGCCGTTCTCAATCAAAGGCGCTGAATAAATACTGAATTGTTTAACAACAAACATGCTATTGGTCATGTCCGCTGCGCATATTCAGCGCATAGAGTATAAATCACCGTTAAAGTGAAGAAAGCCCCAACAGGGGGCACGGGCGTTGAACCTGGGACCTCTTGATCTGCAGTCAAATGCTCTACCACTGAGCTATACCCCCACGCTTCAACATCAAATCATAGCTGCTGGTTTGTAAGGTATAGTCCGTTGTAACGCAATTAAAGTCAGTTATAGTCAAGTCACAGCTAAAGGTATGTCAATGCAGACAAGGGCCAGAAAGGAGGAAAACAGATTTTAACCAAACCTCTTGTTGTTTCTACTTCTGTCAGCCAAGAACAAGAAGCTGCGGATGCAGTGGGCTCAGGCTCATCAACACTGTTCTGCCCAAAAGGGGAATGAACGTTGAATTTTTGATGACTGATGATTTTCGCTATCTTCAAAACGCACACAGATGCTAGTCTCAGAATTGGATGGGGAATGTTTTCTTGTAACACTGTGGGCATGTTAATTCCAGTCAACCATCACGTGGATGCCCAGCCTATTTGAGGATTGTTGCTGACTATGTGCCGCAATTCCCCCTATCCACTAGAGACTACTTCCTAACGATAATGCACCATGTCTCTTAGAAAAGTAATCTCCGACTGGTGACATGAAAATGGCAGTGAGTTCTTTCTTGCTGTTCTCAATCAAAGGCGCTGAATAAATACTGAATTGTTTAACAACAAACATGCTATTGGTCATGTCCGGCTGCATATTCAGCACATAGAGTATAAATCACTTAAAGTTAAAGTGAAGAAAGCCCAACAGGGGGCACCTGGGACCTCTTGATCTGCAGTCAAATGCTCTACCACTGAGCTATACCCCCACATTGCTTCAACATCAAATCATAGCTGCTGGTTTGTAAGGTATAGTCCGTTGTAACGCAATTAAAGTCAGTTATAGTCAAGTCACAGCCAAAGGTATGTCAATGAAGACAAGGGCCAGAAAGGAGAAAAACAGATTTTAACCAAACCTCTTGTTGTTTCTACTTCTGTCAGCCAAGAACAAGAAGCTGCGGATGCAGTGGGCTCAGGCTCATCAACACTGTTCTGCCCAAAAGGGGAATGAACGTTGAATATTTGATGACTGATGATTTTCGCTATCTTCAAAACGCACACAGATGCTAGTCTCAGAATTGGCATCAACATTCATGAATCCGTAGCCTCATCCTGTTTTGTGTCAACAGTCCAAGCCGGTCTAGGGGGTGTAACGGCATGGGGAATGTTTTCTTGTAACCCTGTGGGCATTTTAATTCCAGTCAACCGTCACGTGAATGCCACAGCCTATTTCATGATTGTTGCTGACTATGTGCCGCAATTCCCCCTATCCACTAGAGACTACTTCCTAACGATAATGCACCATGTCTCTTAGAAAAGTAATCTCCGACTGGTGACATGAAAATGGCAGTGAGTTCTTTCTTGCCGTTCTCAATCAAAAGCGCTGAATAAATACTGAATTGTTTAACAACAAACATGCTATTGTCGTGTCGGCGCATATTCAGCACATAGAGTATAAATCACTTAAAGTTAAAGTGAAGAAAGCCCAACAGGGGGCACATGGGACCTCTCGATCTGCAGTCAAATGCTCTACCACTGAGCTATACCCCCACATTGCTTCAACATCAAATCATAGCTGCTGGTTTGTAAGGTATAGTCCGTTGTAACGCAATTAAAGTCAGTTATAGTCAAGTCACAGCTAAAGGTATGTCAATGCAGACAAGGGCCAGAAAGGGGGAAAACAGATTTTAACCAAACCTCTTGTTGTTTCTACTTCTGTCAGCCAAGAACAAGGAGGCGCCGGATGCAGTGGGCTCAGGCTCATCAACACTGTTCTGCCCAAAAGGGGAATGAACGTTGTATTTTTGATGACTGATGATTTTCGCTATCTTCAAAACGCACACAGATGCTAGTCTCAGAATTGGCATCAACATTCATACATAGCTCATCTGTTTTGTGTCAACAGTAAGCCGGTCTAGGGGTGTAACGGCATGGGGAATGTTTTCTTGTAATACTGTGGGCATTTTAATTCCAGTCAACCGTCCGCGTGAATGCCACAGCCTATTTGAGGATTGTTGCTGACTATGTGCCGCAATTCCCCCTATCCACTAGAGACTACTTCCTAACGATAATGCACCATGTCTCTTAGAAAAGTAATCTCCGACTGGTGACATGAAAATGGCAGTGAGTTCTTTCTTGCTGTTCTCAATCAAAGGCGCTGAATAAATACTGAATTGTTTAACAACAAACATGCTATTGGTCATGTCCGCGCTGCATATTCAGCTAATAGAGTATAAATCACTTAAAGTGAAGAAAGCCCAACAGGGGGCACCTGGAGTTGAACCTGGGACCTCTTGATCTGCAGTCAAATGCTCTACCACTGAGCTATACCCCCACATTGCTTCAACATCAAATCATAGCTGCTGGTTTGTAAGGTATAGTCCGTTATACGCAATTAAAGTCAGTTATAGTCAAGTCACAGCTAAAGGTATGTCAATGCAGACAAGGGCCAGAAAGGGGAAAACAGATTTTAACCAACCCTCTTGTTGTTTCTACTTCTGTCAGCCAAGAACAAGAAGCTGCGGATGCAGTGGGCTCAGGCTCATCAACACTGTTCTGCCCAAAAGGGGAATGAACGTTGAATTTTTGATGACTGATGATTTTCGCTATCTTCAAAACGCACACAGATGCTAGTCTCAGAATTGGATGCGGGGAATGTTTTCTTGTAACCCTGTGGGCATTTTAATTCCAGTCAACCGTCACGTGGATGCCACAGCCTATTTCATGATTGTTGCTGACTATGTGCCGGAATTTCCCCTATCCACTAGAGACTACTTCCTAACGATAATGCACCATGTCTCTTAGAAAAGTAATCTCCGACTGGTGACATGAAAATGGCAGTGAGTTCTTTCTGCTGTTCTCAATCAAAAAGGCCTGAATAAATACTGAATTGTTTAACAACAAACATGCTATTGGTCATGTCCGGCTGCATATTCAGCACATAGAGTATAAATCACTTAAAGTTAAAGTGAAGAAAGCCCAACAGGGGGCACATACCTGGGACCTCTTGATCTGCAGTCAAATGCTCTACCACTGAGCTATACCCCCCAGTGCTTCAACATCAAATCATAGCTGCTGGTTTGTAAGGTATAGTCCGTTGTAACGCAATTAAAGTCAGTTATAGTCAAGTCACAGCTAAAGGTATGTCAATGCAGACAAGGGCCAGAAAGGGGAAAACAGATTTTAACCAAACCTCTTGTTGTTTCTACTTCTGTCAGCCAAGAACAAGAAGCTGCGGATGCAGTGGGCTCAGGCTCATCAACACTGTTCTGCCCAAAAGGGGAAATGAACGTTGTATTTTTGATGACTGATGATTTTCGCTATCTTCAAAACGCACACAGATGCTAGTCTCAGAATTGGCATCAACATTCATCAATCCATAGACTCATCCTGTTTTGTGTCAACAGTCCAAGCCGGTCTAGGGGGTGTAACGGCATGGGGAATGTTTTCTTGTAATACTGTGGGCATTTTAATTCCAGTCAACCGTCACGTGAATGCCACAGCCTATTTGAGGATTGTTGCTGACTATGTGCCGCAATTCCCCCTGTCCACT